AATCCATATCGCAATTCACTTCAGTGAATAGCGATTCGCTGAAATGAATATCGTTTAACTGCACTAAATCGCGATTCACGTGAGTGAATATCAATTCACTCCATTGAATCGTTGCAGTCAATAGTGTTTCACTGTAGTGAATCGAGATACACTTTAAGTGAATCTAGATTCACTTAAGTGAATCTACATTAACTACAGTGAATCAAGATTCAACCAAATGTATTGAGATTTATCAAAGTGAATCCAAATTCAACAAATTGTATCGAGCTTCAGCAAATTGAATCCAGATTCTATGATATGAAACCAACTCCATGACATACCATACATTCTTTCAGTGTCTCGTCACTCAACACAACAAGGAAAAACTGATCATCGTTACAGTTTAATTTCACTGTTAGTATACATAAACCATATAATTAGTGAATCGAGATTCTCTATGTTTGAGTGAATACAAATTGACTCCACTAAGTAGCTATTCACTTTAGTGAATAGAGATACATCCAATGAATCGCGATTCACTCCAGTGAATCTCGATTCAATACAGTGAATCTTAGCATAAGATCATAATCCCCCCCTCTAGGGTCTAACATCTTCTTCTAGGGTTTTAGAGAGGAAAAAAGAGGGTTTTGGTGGTGGCTAAAAGATATCTAGATCCGAGATCTTGAGGAGAGAAAAAGAGAAAGCTTGGAGGGATTTTACAAGAGAGAGGTCTATTTCTTTTGGGTAAAAATCAAATCTTCGCTTAGAAGCAAAAATCAAGGATACTAAAATCCCTGCTATTGCTAAGAAGATTGCTATCAATTGGAATTCGTCTTCAAATGTGTCTAATTCTGAAAAGGCCAGAATACTAATTTTATGGGATCCTGATATTCTGAATGTTCAAATAACAAACATCTCTCCACAGCAAATAACTTGTTTTGTTAAATCTGTGGATGGAAGAATTGATTGCATCATTTCTTCTATATATGGTTTTAATCACTAGGAATCTAGGAAAGCTCTATGGACTGAACTTCTTTAGATTCATCAAACTATTGGAAATATGCCATGGATTCTCTGTGGAGATTTTAACTCCATGTTAAATAATGATGAAAAACTTGGAGGATCAATGCTTTCTGATACAGACACAAAGGACTTTAATTCTTTCATTGAGGATTGTAGCCTTTTGCATCTTAAAACCCTGGGCAGTTTCTTCACCTGGAACAATAGACATGATCATGAAACAAGAATCTGGTGCAGATTAGACAGGACTTTAGTGAATGACTCATGGATCAACAAATACAACTCTAGTCATGTGGAGTTCTTGGCCCTAAATTTTTCAGATCATTCACCTGCTGTGGTATCTATCTATGATGAGGAAATACAAGGGAAAAAGTCTTTTAAATTTTTTAAAATGTGGACAAACCATAGCAATTACCTACAAACTATTATTTCTGTATAAGAATGCCCCTTGCCGACAAGTAAAAAGGGCCTAAATCAACATTTCTGAACAAGTTCAAAGGGCTAAGTTTGCTTTAGAGGACACTCAAAAAAAACTACAAGATGATCCTTTCAATCCTAAGAATGCCCCTTGCCGACAAGTAAAAAGGGCCTAAATCAACATTTCTGAACAAGTTCAAAGGGCTAAGTTTGCTTTAGAGGACACTCAAAAAAAACTACAAGATGATCCTTTCAATCCTCTCTTGATCAGTCATGAAAAAGAATGCTTATCTATATACAACTATCTCCTGAACTAGCATTAAAGGAGATAGATGTACCAGTTATTTCCATTCAGCCATCAAAGCAAATAGGCACCAAAACAAAGTTGTGGTTCTTTGCAACAGCTTGGGGGTAAGAATTACTGAAGGAAAGGAAATTGTCAATGAGCTTCTCTCCTATTACAAGAACCTAATGGGAAAGGCTAGTATAGCATCAGCTCCTAGTCACAGGATTATTCAAAATGGTCCATGTTTAAATGAAAATCAAATTGGGAACTTATCTACTCCAATCTCCAAAGAGGAAATCAGAAGTGCTGTGTTCTCCATGCCAGATAATAAGGCCCCAGGGCCAGATGGTTATGGTGCATCTTTCTTTAAGTCTGCATGGCCAATAATTGGAGATGAGATTACACAGGTTGTTGAGGATTTCTTCATTACAGGAAAAATGTTGGGAGCAATCAACTCAACCTCTATCACTCTTATCCCTAAGGTGCATTGTCCAAATTCTCCATCAGACTACAGGCCAATTTCCTGTTGCAATAGTCTTTACAAAATTATCCAAAATCCTTGCTAACAGGATTCAATCTGTTATGGGGCATCTCATTAGTGAAGCCCAAAGTGCCTTTGTAAAAGGAAGACACATTGCAAACAATATTCTGTTAGCTCATGAGTTGGTTAAAAACTATGGAAGGAAACACATCTCTCCTAGAGTCATGATAAACATTGATATTAGAAAGGCTTTTGATACTATCAATTGGAAATTCATAGAGGAGATGCTTAAAGGCTTGGGTTTCCCAGAAATGTTGATCAACAGAATCATGACTTGCATCTCTACCCCTAAATACTCCATCTCACTTAATGGTTCACTCCATGGATACTTCAAGGGTGAAAGAGGATTAAGGCAAGGTGACCCTCTTTCCCCATATTTGTTTATTTTAGGTATGGAGTATCTTTCAAGAAGTCTTGACTCTTTGAAGAATGACAGGAGCTTTAATTTTCACCCAAAGTGTGGAAAGATTAAAATAACTCATTTGATCTTTGCGGATGATTTATTGATGTTCTGCAAAGGTGACATTGGCTCTGTTCAAAGGCTTTATCAGTGTTTTGCAAACTTTAGTGCTGTTTCAGGACTTGATGCCAATCCCAGTAAGTGTACAATCTTTTATGGTGGTGTTGAGGAAACTATAAAAAATACAATCCATGATTACTTGGGGTTCACTGAGGGGAATTTTCCTATCAAATACCTAGGGGTTCCTTTAGTGTGCAAGAGATTAACTTTACAAGACTGCAGTTTTCTGTTCAACAAAATCACAAATCAGTTTAATAGTTGTATGAAGCTTAAAAACCTGTCATATGCTGGAAGAGTGCAAATAATTAAAAGTATCATTCTTGGCATTCAAATCTATTAGACATCAAGTTATGTTCTTCCTGTCAAAGTGCTCCAGAAAGTTGATGAACTCTGCAGAAACTTTCTTTGGGGAAAAAATGATTTAACTTTTAAAGTACCTCTGGTTTCATGGGACAAAGTTTGCATTGGGAAAAAGTATGGAGGTTTAGGAATTTTCTCTTCTATTATCTAGAACTTTGCAGCAGCTGTGAAGACTCTATGGGATATACATACGAAGAAGGAACTCCTTTGGATCAAATGGAGTACGTATCTAAAACACATAAATATTTGGCAAGTGAAAATGAAGAGAGGAGATTCTTGGATGTGGAAACAACTTTTGAAAGTTAGAAATAGAGCTGTGAATTACTGTGGTGGAGTTGGTAATTTAGAGAACTTGATCAAATCATGTTCCAGGAACTCAAAAATTAAAATGTCGGAGCTCTATCATGCACTATCCCCAGCTACAAATAAGGTACCATGGAGCACTACAATTTGGGAGAGTCTTAACTACCCTAAACACTCTTTTATCTCGTGGCTAGCAGTCCAAGATAGGCTGTTAACACAAGATAAACTGCTGAAAAGGGAGATTATTCAGTCAAACCACTGTGTCCTATGCACAGGACCAGAAGCTGAGAATAGAAACCATCTGTTTTTTTATTATAAATTTTCTCAAGATATTTGGAACAAGATCATGGCTTGGATGCAATTCAAATGGATAAGTTGTGATTGGAACCGACTAATGATCTGGTTTAGTTCCAACTTGCGGGGGAAGGGTTTCAAGGCCAGAGCTAAAAGAATGGCTCTCTCCTCTACAGTTACAATATTTGGATGGAACGCAACAGGAGGATTTTTCAGGGAAAGTTCTGTGAAGTTGAGCATCTTATCAAGACTATCAAAATAGATTTGATGTCAGTGATTCTTAACTGCACCTTGCCTACAGATTGCAAAGATTGGATACTCTCCTTATAATCTCTACAGGGTTCGGTTTCACTGATTGCAGCTGCTGAATATCTCGGATACGCTAAATGGCATTGTTTGTATTTTTTTTCATAGATCACTCAGTTTCTTGAGTTCTTGATGTACATAAACTTCTATACGGTTTAATCAATAAAAGCTTTCATTGACCCAAAAAAAAAAGGGCCTAAACGCTCAAAAGTCAAGTCATAATGCCTAACTGACACAGGATCCCACTGAATATCATATTGGAAAATGCGATCATCTCATGATAACAATCTAATAGTTTAGCCCAACGCAAAGTCAAGAATAATATTATTCTTTCCTAAACAAGTTCAAAGGCAATCAAAGATTAACAACCCCTCAAGGAGAACTCCAATTCCCATAACTACCTGAGGTCTTAGCTTTGACAGAAAAGTTCCAAATGGGCTTGGCTGGTCACCTAAACTTTGGAGATTAGTTTGGAGATCCAGAGACTTACACTTAGAATTGATTTGGCAAGTGCTTGTTTCTAAAGATACCAATGTTGAATAGTTTGCGACGACCAACTATTCTATGCTAGATTGTAGAAAATGTCTATGCTAGCTAATAGCCCACGTGGTAATTTATGCGTTTTTATACTTGACTGACTTAATCATTAATTCCATCTCTTTTTGGTTCGGATCCTCTCTAATTAGGCGGTAATTAGAGAGCGTCCAATTATCCTAATCCGTTCTCTCTATTTCCATTTGAAGGGTGTAGATGAAGACGCACATAATTTTTATTATTATCTTGAAAATGACTATCGCATTCGAAACCACTCTTATGGGAACCTATATTTTAACTCTTTGTTGGGCTAATTAGTAAATATTAAAATGTGGAGGGTATGCGTTGGTAAAACCCTTTATTTTATAAGCGTCTAATGCTTGCCTACCCAACTTGTATCAGACCCATTGAGGCTATAAATAAAGAAGGGAGCTAGTATAGACGATCATCAATTCAGCGTACTGATTCCACCTTCAATTAATGGATCAACCTCAACCCCCAAGCGAACTTTCATCCGTACAAAAGAACCTCCTCCAAAGTGATGCCCTTCATGAGGTTAATTAGTCTTCATTCATTCATTTTTCTTCTTTTATTTTCTGGTAATGATAATGCATTATTTGTTCTTAATTTTTCTTCTTCTTCTTCTTCTTCTTCTTTTTTCAAATAGTACATACTGAAGACGAGTGTGTACCCACGAGAGCACGAATTACTCAAGGGATTGAGAGAGGAGACTAATAAAAAACACCCATGGCAAGAACTTTTGGTTTCTTTTTTTTATTTATTTTATAAATGCTCAATTTCATTTCTTCTTTGCTGCGTTGGACTATACGTTAGTTCTATAAAATTTTAAAAAGACTACCTCTTGTTGAGCTTGCAGGAGTTTGATGGGTGCACCCCCTGAAGAAGGTCTACTTCTTTCTATGCTACTAAAGTTCATGAATGCAAAGAAAACAATAGAGATTGGGGTTTTCACAGGGTATTCCCTCCTCACTACTGCTTTGGCTTTGCCAAAGGATGGAAAGGTGCAAAGTTTTCTTATTTTACCATTTTTTATTTTATCTTTTTCAAAAAAAAAAAAGAGGGTTAGTTAGAGATATAGAGCTAGTTTGGTATTGCTTTTTTTAGGGTGTTTCTGTTTATTTTTTCAAAAAGTATCCAATAACGGTGTTTAGTAAAAAGTTTTTTTTAGTATGCTTATTAAAATTGTTTCTGTTTTTAAGGGGGTGTTTTTAGAAGCAATTTGATGATTCTTTTAAAAGCAACTTTTCCTTTTTTTTAGTTTATATACCATATATACCTTTATCTTTTAACAATGATCGTTAAGCACAGTTCTACCAACCACATTAACTGCTTTTTTAACATTTTTTATATTTAATTATCAAGCTGCTATTTTTCAGTAGCTTATATAAGTTGCCTATAGAAGTCACTTTTATAAGCAACTTATTATAAATTCTAGCAATACTAAACTGGCTAGTAGCAATACTAAATTTATAAGTTGCCCATAAATAAATTTATTAATACAAGCAATGTTATTTTGTCTTCGAATATTATGTGAAAGTCATGTGACAAGAAATTGTTCTTTGTTCTCATTTTAACTAAAATAACTAAACTTTCCCGAAATTGAGGATAAAATTTTATTGTCGTTATATGATTCTTACGTTATATCTCAATCGAATGGAGAAATAACATCATGTATTCGGAGAGTGTAACTGCTTATAAAATAGTTTATGGAGCAGAATTGCCTACTACATCCCATTTAATAGTACTATCTGCAACTAACTCAGAAGTAATTAGATTGCATGTAATTTTAGAGGGAGAAATAGTTTGTACCTTTGTAATACTGTGTTTAATATTAACATTTTTTTTTGTAGATAACTGCTATTGATCCTGATAGAAAAGCCTACGAGATGGGTTTACCATTTATTCAAAAAGCAGGAGTTGAACACAAGATCGAATACATAGAATCAAAAGCTCTTCCTGTTCTTGATAAAATGCTTGATGAGGTAAATAACAAACTAAACGTCCACGTTTAGAATTATTTATTAATCATAATTTAGTTAATAGATGCTTAGTTCCCCCTCAGTTTCCTTGTCTTTCCTACAACCACCATCAAGGTTAAATTTAGATGAAAGCAAATTCTAGGGTTTTTTTTTAAAATAGACATTTTTTCTAAATAATTAGCAAAATCGACCATTTTACTAATTATTTAGAAAAATTGACTTCTTTTTGGCCAACAGGCCAAAAGAAGTCGATTTTCAAAAACAGCATGCTCGAAATATACGGGACTAGTAGTCTCGTATGTTTTAAAAACACAATCAAAACATACGGGACTAGTAGTCCCGTATGTTTAGTCTCGTATGTTTTATTTCTCCTCTCCCTATTCTCAATCCATTAAAAGTTCTAGCTGCTAATAGCATGGCACATCTTCTTCCCAAAATTCCAAACCCGAGCCCTACGAACTCAGGTTAAATTGGTTCCTCGCCAAGGTTAAACTGGCTCCTCGCCGACGCGGAGGTAAGTGGAGAGCGCCTTGGGCGTGAAATTAGGCGCGATTCTTCGATGGAGGTTTTTATGGGCCTGGTCGAACATATAGATTAGATTGTGCTCGCCGAAGGGGTGGCCGATGAGGTGGAAGGCGTCGGGGCAGCGGTGGCGAAGATTTTGTGGGAGAGGTTGGTGGAGCGGATGAAGAGGATGAATTTGCCGACGAGGAAGTTGGCGGAGAGGCCGGCGGGCTCGGCGGAGTCGACTTGATAAAGCCAGAACTTGGTCGAGTTTAGGATCTTAGGGATGACGGAGCCATTAATGAAGGGGACGATGAAGTTAGGGCCGGGGAGTGGGCCCTTTTTGCGGAGGTAAGAGTGTTGTTGGAGGAGGATGAGGAGGAGGGAGGAGAGCAGGATTGAGACGAGAAACATGACGCCCATTTTCTCTTTTTCTTTTTTTTCAACGGATTGAGAGCAGGGAGAGGAGAAACAAAACATACAGGGCTAAACATACGGGACTACTAGTTCCGTATGTTTTGTTTGTATTTTTAAAACATACGAGACTACTAGTCCCGTATGTTTTGAAGAGACTGTTTTTAAAAATCGACCTCTTTTTTGCCTGTTGGCCAAAAATATGTCTATTTTGCTAAATAATTAGCAAAATGGTCGATTTTGCTAATTATTTAGGAAAAAATATATTTTTAAAAAAAATCCCCAAATTCTATGACTTATTCCAATGATGACTTTAGCTATCAAAGTTGACCTAGCTAGCTGAGGAGACGAATTTGGATCCTCTCCACTATAAGAAATTAGTGGAGTGACCACTATTTTTAATCTCAATCGTTGATTATTTAGTAGGCGGTTATGATACAATCTAAATCTAACACTCACCATACCCAGTGTATTTCACTCATTCCTAATTTGCACTCAAAGAAAAATTCACAATTACCAACTAGATAATCAATGGTTGTGATTATGTAGTGATCCATCCACTACTTTTTAGATAGTGGAGAGGATCCAAATCCAAGGAGACACGGCTGTGTTTGGCAATTCTCCACTAAGCTGGTTAAGATCTTAACTAGGTTTGGAGTTAGCCCTATTTTAACCAAACAATAACTTGTACCCTAATCCAAGTTAGATCCACCAACTTGGTTAGTGGTGGAGTTGCCAAACACTCTCCAGTTGGTTCTTGCCATGATCGAATAGAATATCAAGTCATAATGAAAATCGAAAGTGCGCTCCTGCCTCTGTTTAAATATTATATTTACTTAATGTTGTAAGTCATCTTTGCAAGATTTTAAATAAACAAATAAACTTACTTCATCAATTACCACATCATCTTTATTTCTCTCCTTTCAGCAATAACTTGTTTTTACATACAAAAACTTGGTATTCACCGGCAATCTAATGTTGCCGTACTTTCACGCTTGCAAAAAATCAGTAACTTTTCGCATTGTCGATTCTCCAATCAATACGACAGGTGAAAGAAGAAGAACTCTACGACTTTGCATTTGTCGACGCCGACAAGCCAAACTACGCCGAGTACCACGAGCGACTACTGAAGCTCGTCAGGGTCGGAGGGGCGATCGCCTACGACAACACGCTCTGGATGGGGACCGTGGCGGCGTCGGAGGAGGAGAGCGAGTCCCTCCACCCGATGCTGAAGCTCTACAGGGGCCCACTGGTCGAGCTGAACAAATCCTTGGCTGCAGATCCTCGCATCGAGATTTCGCAGGTCCCGATCGGCGATGGGGTCACCATCTGCAGGCGCCTGTATTGATCCCTGATGCTGGTCTTCGTCCAACAATTAGGAGCTATATATATACAGCTTCATGCTTGGGATTGTACTTGTTAATCCTCTAAAGAAAAATTGAATAAACACTGAACTGTTCATCGGTCTAAGGACTCGTTTGGTATGAGGTTAAGGAAAAATGCGTCGACTGCGGGCAGCCGAAGAAGTTGTCAATATGTCATAGCCTAACAAGAATCATAACTAAACAACCAAATCAGTGGGTTTGATGCTAGCCAAGACAACAGCTCTAATAAGTGGTAATCAGAGAGAGTCCAATTATCGTAATCGTAATCTGTCTGTTTCAATTTCGGTAACTAGGATGTCGCCACGTAGATTTCGACAATTATCTAGGAAATTATTGTTGTCTCGAACACTACTATTATGAAAACCATTTTTGTGAGCAGTGAAAATCTTTGTGGCTTCATCCTATTCCTTTTAATCGGAACAGATAGTCATGATTTGAGCATTTGGAGCCTCTCTAATAACTAATGACAGAGGATATATATTAAAAAGAACAACAGCAGAACAACAACCTCATATCGACAAAGAGAAAAATTAGAGGAAAATATTTTAAAAATTTGAAGGAAAAAAAACGACGACGATACCCACAAACAACACTCGGTTACCTAAACTTTGCAAACTCATAAAAAATATATATTCATACAAATAATGTGCAGAGTGATTGGTGCTCTGGACTCTGTTTTCTACTTTAATGTAACAACAAGCGCTTGATGCTATGCTAGATTCTAAGAAATGTCCAACCTAGTTTAGACACCTTGATGATGTTTGCGTTTACTTTAAGAACATAATTCTCCGTTCTTAGCTTTTTTTTTTGGCTTTATTTCACTTAAATACCCTATAGTTTTCCCTGATTTAAACTAACTTTTATCAGCACTTAGGTACCCTGGAATTTTTAACATTTGACTATCTTGAGCTATGAAAATGTGAGAATCCACCCCTCAAAATTCTCATGTGATAATTTTAGAACTTTTTTTAACCCTTGCTTTTTCCTGAATACATTGTTAAACCCAATGTAATTCTATTTTAAGCCTAACTCAATTCTAATTGAAAACGGGATTTTGATAGGTTTAATGGTAAATCTAACAAATACTAAGAATTAAAATGATCTAAAATAACTCCATCTCCACGGCGAAAAATCATTCTCTGTTGAAATCTATAAGATAAGATGAATGTGGACATTACTTGAATATGGACAATTAATTAGGTGACTCTTCATTAGCCCATGTCCTTTAGTCTTCTTATTATCCATCTATATAATGTACGTCATGGACTATAAAATGTATGGAGAAATGAATATAAATAAAATGAGATGATCACTTTCTCCATATCTCTTCTCTTCTCTATTTATTTACTCTTACATTTCATGTTCGATTCTTACTTATGATATGTTATGTATATAGATATAACAACAAGATTACAACGCGTTATCAGCACGAAAGCTCTAGCTAACCGGTTCGTACTAGTCAGGGAGGCTGTCAACTGCCAGCTCTGCAGTGGTATGTATTTTGATGAAATTTCCATTTGTGATTTTTGTTCACACCTATATCAAAAGGCTGTTCAAACTGGAATTTTTTCGTACTTGCCTAGTATTCTTGCTTGTTTTATTAAGTGCTGTTGTTTATCACATATGTGTTATTTGTGAGTAGCTACAAGGACATGCCGATATACATGTGTGTTGGTTTCAAATAAAATTGGATATTTATATGCGTGTGAATGTAACATGCCAAAAGAGTTTTGACCACCTTGCCATTCATGATACAATCCTACATCAAGTGCATGTTTTTCTCCGACTAGATCCTTTTGACCTTGGTGCAAAAGACTTCAAGACTGTTGACAATTTGACTCCTATTAGTCTTTTTAGTTTTAAATGTCAATTTCATCATAATCAAAGTTGTTATGCATTTTATTCTGATTTTGATAGTAGTTGGAATTGTTTATGAGTGCATGTAAAGTTTTCCCCTAGTGTTAGGATCGTTATCATTGTTTAACTCACCTCAGCTAATGTTTGTGATACCCAGACTAGAGTGTAATTAAGCAAACCCATTGGTCAATGCAAGTAAATGCTTGAGGTACTCTTAGATGTTGGGACAGTGGTGGTCAGAAAACATAAGGAAGGGTTTATTGATGGCTATAGACTCAATGTTTGCTTTGCATATTTTAAAATAGATACTTTTTCTTAGAAAGAGAGGGAGTGTGTGTTGAGCCTCTCCTGAGAGGGTACCATGTTTTATCTTCAAGAACACTCGGCATTTTTTTAATATATAACGCTAGAAAGTGTTGCTACCCAAGGTAGTCACAAAAGTAAACTGTAAAGTTCAGGAAATGTGCATGTTTTTGTTGGTACGCAGGGTTCCCCTTGAAATATTTAATTAAAAAATGGAAAATTAAAACATACCAGCTATCTAGTATAGAGTATGAATAGACAGAGCATCAATCATGAAAAATTGTCATAATATATCAATTTGATGCTTTTGATTTAAATATTCTATTTTCTTACTTGAAGTAAAATCTAAGCCTCATGAAAACTTGAAATTAAGTTGTGGGTTTTTAAAGCTCATGTTAGCGTCCATAAGTGATCCATTTTTTATATTGCTAATTGCACTGATTCTTCTTCTCCACTAAAATTATACAATATTAGTTTTCTATCCAAAATTGCATTGGTGGTGTTTTGAATCTGTGGCAACCTTGAGTTTAGAAGAAATGATAGCACAAACTGGTTATGCCTTTGTTTATTTTCTACTTGCTTGAGTTTGTGATGGTCATTGATCGTCCGAGCATTAAAAATTTTGTATGAATTTTAATATCAAACTAGTTTGCCAGAAGCAAACATTTGAAAGATAACATTTATGAAGATCTTTAGAAAAAGGAGCTTGATGATTTTGGTGATTATAGGTGATCTTATTAAAATGTGAATATTTCTAATTTCCCATGCACTAATCTTTCGTCCCCATGATTAGTGCATTGTGATATATGATAGTAATTATTACTTGTCTTTGGCCTCAAACGTTCATTTTTACTGGACACCCTTGTGATTTTTACACGATTATATCTCTTGATTCTTTAAGTATCTTTGCCCAGAAGACAAACACTTTAAATTTTCTCTCTATCATATAAGACTTGAAAAATTAATGACTCACTGAAAAAGTATTCACTTTTCTGGGCAATTCCTGAAGGATCGCTTTGATCTATTGAAGCCAATAATCTCCCCTCAAACGCAACTGGCAGACTGAATCAGAACTTTTTGGATTTCAAATACATGACTAAATATGATTCAACTATGTACCATATTGTCTAATAGGTGAAGCTCGCAGAATTGATCGAAAAGATTTTTTTCCCATTCCATGCAAGTAGTATTGTACTCCAGTAGCAGTACGTGGCCAAAAATTATGCCAAGCATTCTTTGATATCTACATTTAGAGTTGTAGAGAATCACAACAAATTGTTGATGAGAAATCATAATGTTAGACTAGTTGGCTTACGAGTTATGTTTGGAGCGCATGCTACAATTTAGAAAATTACTTATACGTGTTGACAAGGGGGAGGCTATGAACATAGTAGGAGATCTTATCATGTAGCCATTTTTTGATTTTAAACCCTCGACTGAATACAATTCAACAAGTAACCTTGTACTCTTACAATAGTACAACTAAAAATTATATTAAGCATTATGAATTAATCCTTGCATTAGTAGTTGTTAAAAACACAACCAGCTGTTGTGAGAAACCATGATGCAAGTTTAATTGGTTCAGTCATAGTGCCTGAAGCACATGTCATAATTCAAACTAATATTCATAAGCTTGGACGAGGGGGAGGTAGTAGATCTTATCGAGGTGGTCAAGGTAAACTATTTGTTTTTTCTATATTTGGATTATATGCATTTGTCAGACAATTTTAATTTATCTTGAGTTTGCTTTAAACTCTTATGAACCTATGTGGTTTTTATTCATATGTGTATACTTTAGAATTTGTCTGACCTAAAATACACCATGTTGCGATGATTTTTGAGATTTAGAGAACCAAATTCTTTTAAATTCTGGCATGAGCTATTGGGTCATCTTGGACAAAATATGATTTATTGGATTTCCTTAAATTAAATGGGGGCATCAAACCAAATCCGACCAACTGCATATCACAATTTTCCCCCTTTATCTAATACGTGGTGAAGAAACGAAACATTTCCCATCTGCGTATTCTTTATTTGCAGTCTATGCATGTTTCTATATCACCACCATAGCGTACCTCTATGGGGCCTCGGTGAAGGTTAGGTACATACATTATTTATGAAACTCTGTCATAATTTAGTAGCTATGGTCCATGTTAGGGGATTAATTTATAATTTGGTACGCTGACTGTATTTTTATTGAAGATCAATTCTCGACATTAGGAGGAGATTAGTACCCAAAATACAAAATAATGTCAAGAAATTCCATTGATGAAAAAGATCTTCAATATTTATATCCACGTACTAGTCAAACCGAACCAGAAGTTCACATGACAATTTGCTAAGAAAAGAGTGACTAAGCCCCATATTCATGTTGAGTAAATCATTGATGATTTGGTACGCCAGAAGCGTACTGCACTAGAAGCATAGGAAACTTGTTAGTGAAAAAGATAAAAGTCTGCGGCACACCAAATCTAATATAGAAAGACAGTCACTCCCATAACCTCCGGAAGAGGCTTGTCCTAAAGACGAAATCTCCAGTAAATTGCACGTGCACTTGATAATCATAATATTGGAGATACGGAACGACCAAATCCAATTGTTAAGGGAAATAACGAGGATTTTGTTGACATAAAATAGGAATTAAAGTGGCCACGAATTTGTGAAAAAGGAAAAATATATAATAGAAATATAAAAGTTATCGACAACAAAGTTGCCTCTACAGTTACTCTTACTATCTCCGAAAATAATTTGGATCCATAATCTAAGTCGGTAGCAGAGTGCTTGAAGTACTCGGACTAGGTGAGATGGAAAGTGGCAATTGAGGCTGAGCTGAACTCGCTAAAGTATTTTGAACCTGTAGTCCATATATCCCTGCAGGATATAAATGGGTCTTCGTAAGAAAAATAAATGAGAATTATAAGGTGGTGAGATATATGTTTGCGGAAAAAGTCGCTGTATTCATTGCTGCATTCATTACAACTTCGATCGT